CCCTTGTTCTTTCTAGAGCATTCTGGACCTGCTTCTGGCCTTTTGCAGTTGTTGGCCCCTTCCACTGGCACCCCCTTCCCCTAGGTGGCCACAAGACTTGCTTCCTCAGTTCCTAGGTTTTTCAGCGTTTTGTCAAGACTTGAGCCCTCCCTTTGCCTATAGCACTGATTGTCTGATTTTTTTCTATTTGTGTATTATGTGTCTCCTCCCACTGCAGCGTAAGCTTGCCTGCGTAAAGGTTTTTGTCTTTGGTCCTTTCTGTATGCTTAGAACTAGAACCATGCCTGGCATGTAGCATGCACCTAATAAATGCTTTCAATGATATCATATGTGAATGAACAAATGGGTAGAGTGGAGAGGAGACCCCTTCTTAAAGATTTTGACACATTGCGAAATTGGCATCTGTGGTGGATTTTTGAGATTATATGCCAACCAGAAATGCATAAAAGCACCTGTTTCCCAACAGTCTTTGCAGTGGTGGGTTTTTATTCTTGTTTTTCATTTTGACAGTCAGGTAGATGGCAGAGGTGAAACTCTTTTGCTGATACTATTTTTGAAGGTTGTACAAGTTTGCTTGTTTGTATGTTTTCCATATTTACCCAGCATAGAAGGGCAGCTCTTACTCTGTGTCTATTTTGTTACAGAAGTGTGTCTTTTTTTGACATCCTTCCCTTCCCTCCATCCTCCCATGATGGTCTCTGGGATGTCGTGGTTCACTTCCTGGTGCAAAAGGCATGAGAACCCTGTGGTTATCGGGGTGGGAGGGTGTCATGATTCACTTCCTGCTGCAGAGGCAAATAGACCACCATGATTTTCTGAGGTTGTCCTGATTCACTTCCTGGTGCTGAGGAGAGTCCCAACTTCTCCAGTTCCAACAGGAACTGGCTAAAATCAGGATTCTGTTAGCAGATGAAAAGCTGGACATTGGCTCTTGGGAGGCAGTCATGGCGTATTCCACATGCTGAATTAGCTCTTGATTGATTGACTAGTGCCTTGATTGACTATCCTTTAAAATAGGGCAAAGGTCTGCACTTTCAAATAATTTTTTTTAATGTTTTGTATTTTTGACAGAGAGAGAGAGATAGAGCATGAGTGGGGGAGGGGCAGAGAGAGAGGGGAGACACAGAATCCAAAGCAGGCTCCGGGTTCTGAGCTGTCAGCACAGAGCCCGACGCGGGGCTCCAACTCACAGACCGTGAGATCATGACCTGAGCCGAAGTCGGATGCTCAACCGACTGAGCCCCCAAGAGCCCCTCAAGTAATTTTTATTAAAATAATATATGGTCATTATTGAACACTTGGCAAATACAAAGAGATGGAAGAAAAACACATCCACGAGTCCCACCATCCAGATAACTATGTGGATAGTTACCACTACAACATTTTCCTTGCATTTCCTCTGGTCTTTTTCTTTGCATACTTTCATAGAAATCTGTTAATTCCGTATATGCTTGTGCCAGGAAGTCTTTCCATCCAGACCTATAGCAATAATGTTCTCATAATTTTTTTTTTTTCCACAAACTGTGCAGTTTCGTGCCTGTGCGATTTTCCGTGGACCTTAGATAAGTCCTGTATCATTTCCTATTTTGGGATGTAAGGTTGTCCCACCGATAATAATGCCATTGTACCTTAATGTGTAACACTTTTCCAGTTTTTAGGACCGTTGTGAAATTGTCGTGTCAAAGTTCATGAACATTTTACTGCCAAATTGTTTTCCCAAAGAATTACCCACTTGCAGTCCCAATAGTAATGTTTGCAAGTGGGGCTGTTTTGTGCCAATTAATTTGTATCGTAAGGAAATGGGTCATCGACCTGTTCTCTTTTGGACCTGTAGCAGTTGGAACTTCGTTCAGAATAAACACTAATAAAAGCTTTAAATAACTCCAGTGGCCATGGTTCAACAGTCCCCTGTGGCAGCTTGTTGAGGATTTTAACAGCCCAAGGGGTTTTGATTTCCTTTTATTTTCTTTTCCCCTCTATTTTCCTCCCTCCTGGGTTTAAAACATGTTTTCCTAGCTACAGTTAAGCCTTAGTACTTCTTGTTCTGTCTTCGTTGATTAATGAGTACAATTGACCCCTGTTGTCTCTATTATACAAGCCACAGCAATTTGTTTTTATGTAGCAGATATTTTCTGAGCTGTCACAAAACTGCCTTACAAAGAGAGAGCTCATTATCTGCCTGAAGGAAAGGAATTTTAAGTGATGAAGTGAATAAAGGTCCCTATGAGAAGGAGGAGGAGAAGTCTAGGCTATTCAGATGTTCAGGGAACAGTGGGGGCAAAATGATCCATTGTTGCTTAGGTACCGGGCCAGACTTGGTTAGATCTTGAAATTGCTAGATTAAAAATGGCTCCCCATAGAGACAGTCTTGAAGACTGATACAGAAGCATGGAATGTAGGTCTGAGGAACCATAGAGCATGACATTGGATGGAGTGGGTTGCAGCCTATGGGAAGTTCACGGTTACGAACACGATTATAGAAATCCCAGCTAAATGCCTCTGGAGGGGGAGTAGAGGTGGCTTGTAAGTTGGAAGGTTTTATCTGAACAGATATTGACCATAAAGAATATCCAGATTTCCATGTTCTATCAGAAGATGGCTTGTTTTTCATTTATGTAGTTCCCCCCCACCCCACCATTTCTTCTTTGCCCCCATGATCTTCCTGAGATTTTCCTCAGCTCACCAAACGAACCAAGGAATCAGCAGAGGTCGAGGGGAAGAGACGTTGCGACACAGTGCGATCTTGGCTTTAGCGAAGTCAGTCTGCCACAGCGCTGAGAAATGGGGTCCTTGTGCCTCGGGAACCATCTTGTCTTCAGCTAGTCTATGGCGAGCTCCTCTGGGGAGCGTCCTGTCACATAACCTCTCTTCATCAACCCTGCCACACTTTTCTCGGAGGAGAAGAGGAAGGAATTAACCACACACAAGGACGGGCACAATTCCTAAGCAGCAGCAGTTACTTAGTCACTAACGATGGCTCTGAATTACGGAACGCGACAGCTGGAGGGGCCTTGAAGGTCTCCTCTTTATTTTGTGAATACGGAAAGTCAGACACGGAAGATTTTTTGCTTCTTCCTGGTTTCATCCAGTTCCCAGTAGAGCCGGCTCTAAAAACCCAAATGCCCTCCTTTCATATGGTTGGGTAGCTTCTCGGCAGTTTGAGTTATCTTTTGGCAGACTCTTCTGTTCTTACACGTTTAAGGCGAGGATCTGATCCAGAATAGCTCCAGATGAACTATTCTCAAAGTGCAGGGTTCTGTTCATTGTAAAGAAACTTGCAGTACCTTATTTAAAGCATATTTTGTTTTATTCTGTCTTGTGGATAAGCGTTCAGAAAAAAAAAAGTTGGCTTGGTTCCTTCCAGAAACCTCTGATGCAAGAGCCATCTGGCTCTGGAGAGAGGTGTTGGGGACAAGGGCAGGTAGGAAAACTTTCTGAATCTCTTTGAAACTAACTACCGGGAGTAACAGCATCTCAGAGCTGTAAGACGTTTTGCCCCCTTGTTGGAAAGAAATGAGGCGTTGTCAGCCTTTGTAGAGTGACAGGGAGGTCGTAGGAAGAAAAAGGGTGCTTCGGCCATGGATGGTCAGCAGGGTGGGGGGTTCAAGGATCAGCCCCTGGGCCAGAGGAGTACCAGTCCTTCTTTGCTAACCCCATCCTGTCTTCTAATGAAAACTGTGTAAATTGAGCTTCCTCAATGAAAAGAATACTATCTTGTACTCGGAGGTACAGACAGAGGTAGGAAGCAACAGTACCTTGACTTTCTTCAATGAAGACCTTCTGTACTCTCCTTGTAGCCGTGGGGTTTAGTAACTATGGGTCCCCGTGTGATGTGAATTCGCCGGTGTGGAATTTACGATGATACGGGGAAGAGAAAATGAGGACTTGGCAGGACTTGGCAGGTCTTGGCTTGAAAACATAGTTAAGAAATCCCTCGTGGGTTTATTTTCCATGCACTTCAAACCCATCAAGGGAGAACGCCCAAGTGAGGGTTAGGGTGACGTTGTCTGCCATCCTGACGAATCCTGATGGGTAGAACGCTGTTCGTCCTCATCGCCGTCCTTGGTTCACAAGAAGCACAAATAACACCCGTATGAAGAGCCGTCCCCCTATCTGGGTTAGAGCGCGCACCCAATGCTGTGCTTATGTTCTGATTTAGAACTGTTTCCTCTTCCCACGACCTTCCCAAGACCTTCTCCCATGGCTTGTCATGGTGGGCATGATGGATGTACTTGAATTGCGTCCCCTCCTGCCAAATGAAATGAAGAAAGAGAAGAACCCACTTTGGCAACATCGCTATTCATTACGCTTATTAACACGAGTGAAGGGCTGTTTCTCCAAACACCCCCCGCCCCCACCGTGTCTCACAGGTGCCCCCCCAGCGCTTCCCCCAAAGGGGCCCACCTTTCCCGATGCTCATTTCCTTCGTCTCCCTGGGTGCTGTCCGAGGACGGGCTGCCCGCCCGCCCCCCCGGCCTCTGGAGGCTTTCTTTCTCACGAACACCTCAACTCCTCGTTTGCTGTTTGTTTTACTTTCTGTTAGTCTTTAAAAACCCTCCCCCGAGGTAGTGTTTTCCAATAAAATCTCACGGTTTCCACGAAGATATCGAGAAGTTCACAGGAACTCTCAGGCTTCACGTGCAGGGAGGTATCACTGTGTATTTCCGCAAAACGCATTGTGCAAATGGGTTGTGTGTAACATCCTGTCTCGATGCTGCTGCCCCAGAGCACTTCCGTCCACCAGCGGGTGCCGACGTGGGTCAGTGCCACCCTTCACGCGGTTTCAGACCCCACATCGCAGTCACGATGGAACACCCGCCCTGTATTTCGTACTTTGTGTTCCACGCGTTCCCCGTGAAATCTGATGTGCCGTCAGGCACGAGAAGGGACTTCACCCTCCGGGGTCCTGTATTTGCACCGCTTACTGATTTAACTAGTGACACCCTCTGAAGCTATTTATTTGGTTAACGCTGTTCTGTCTGTGTTTTCGTCCCGTGCAGGTTACTCTGGCCAGGACTTCGACTGGGCGGATTATCACAAGCAGCATGGGACCGAGGAAGCGCCTCCCTTCGGCTTCAGGAATGTAAGGAGCTTGGTGCTTGCTACTGCTTTGTTCCTAGATGTTGTTCACCGTGTTTGTAAGTTGCTTCCCATTCGTGAGCAAGACGAGTGTGCTGCCGTGGACCACAGGATCCTTACTAAGCTTTCGTAGTTTTTGCAAAGGCCTCCTTCAGGTTGTGTGTTAGGGTGACTCTGGGGTGTTGGAGCACAGCCACTGCTACGTGTATGGTGGCCCGGTATAAGTTCATGTCTCACTTATGGAAGGGTCCGGTGTGTTCTAGATTAGCACAGGCTTCTCACTACGGTGAGCCTGGGCCTCAGGAGAGCCTCTGGCTTCATCCCCTGAGTCTAGTGAGCAGATCAAATAGCAGTGTGTGTGTGTGTGTGTGTGTGTGTATGTGTTCACAAGGGTGTACTTGTTATAGGAGTTGGTTGTATCGGGTGGCTTATCAAGTATTCATTTAGACTGGATCAACCCTGGGAACTATGAAAAGGCACATGGATTATTACGTCTGTATTCAGAATGAGGCACCGATGTATACAGCCTAGTGTGTTGAACATGCATTTAGCTATGAAAGTTAATTCTTTATACTAAAGAAAAAAAAAAAGACTCAGTCCTCCAGTTGGGGACGGCAGGCATCACAGTGCAGAGTGCTCCCAAATCAGAGACCTTTTCTGGACGCGTCCTCCTCCAGCCACTGATTCCTTGCTACCCCACCAATATAACTCGTACTACGGGGATCACGGCACATGACAGCTGAGAGGCGGAAGGGGCTGGCTCAATCGAGAAGCTCAGTACCGAGCGTAAGTCCAAGGTGGATTTTGAAGAATTAAGTAGGTCGGTCACTGGGTCAGCTTGACCCCCTAAATGCAGAAACTAAATGCAGAAACACATCCGTGGCAGAGTCGGAAATCGGGGCTCCTGAAACCAACAAAGGGACTTTCTGCCGGCTGATGCTGCTTTTGCACAAAGCTGGTTCTTCTGCGGCGCACGGAAAGATCTGCGTGGTGAGGCGCGGTGGTATGTGCGGTGGGGACCCTCCCCCATACTGTAGGCGCTCGGAGGTGCCACCGAGAGGGTAGCCGCTGGTTAGCTCCCGGGGCTTATCAAGTCCAGTGCAGTCTTACTAGCCCTTTTACAGTGATAGTGCTTGTCACAGAGCCCTGGCCTCGTTGCCTTGCAGTTAGGATCCTGGAGACACTTAGCACGTCCCCAGACCCCTTCGAAGTTGTGCTTTCTACCCGACCAAAGACACATTCGTTCCCTACCTCTTCACCCTTGGGAGGGAGATCCTGACGTGTCCCCTGGTTTCGTGCGTAAGGAGGCGTTTCCTCTGCAACAATACGGTTCCACTGTCCTCTGCTCCCATTCAGCCAGCAGCTGGCCAAATGGGGTTTAGTAGAGGAAGTAACCACATCCCCAGGTGGCCTCTGAGCTCCCAGGCTTTAGCTACCAGGATGAAATCTGTTTTAATGACTGTGCTGGCGTATTCATTAGGAATGCACTTGTCACAAACATGCCCGCTTTGTTCCCCGGCTCTGCGTTTATGTAATCGACGGGATTGTCATCTGCCTGTTGGCATAGGTGTTGCACTCCTGGTGCTCTGCTGAATTTTGTTAGCTTGCCTCGAGTGCTCTTTAAGGGGATGCTTATCATGAATTCATTTTTTAATCACGCATCTTGTGTGCACTAGAGGAGAGGGGGTGTGGAAGTGGCTGCATGGGAGACATTTCCCCGGGGATGTTTAACAATCAGAGACGGTTCTGAGATGGATTGACACAGCGAAATGCTTAGTAAAATAAACTCACGGGTAACAGGTTTGCCATTGATCTTTATAAATTACCCTCAAGCAGCGAGTTGAAACGAAAATAGGTTATGCGGTTGTAGCTTTCCCTTATTAAGGAGGATCAAATGCATTTTAACTTACTTAGAGGCTTTTCAGGCAGCCTATCGAGTCATATTATCAAAAAGCTCAATACATAATATGCACGGATAGGCAGGATGACTTGTAGGAAAACAGCCTGCCTAGAATTTTCCTTGGTTCCTATTTCCAAAGAGACGTAAAGGAGAAGAACAAATCGCTTTCTTATCGCATATGCTGGGTCATTTTGTTCTGGTTACATAAAGATATAATTGACTCGCAACATAACGTATATAAATAGATACGTGAATGCAAATTAGCTTGGCCTCCTCCCACGGGTCAAGTAAGGATGTAATCTCCTGGTACTTACAGGAGCCCGTTTACTTCAGTTTATGTATTTCAAAATAGATACATGCAGTATTGTAATATCTGATTAAAATTTATAGCAGCGGATGCTTTGGGAAAATCTTACGCTTATTTTAAAACAGTGCGAGAAGGGAGTTTTGCTTGGAGTGTCGGCTGAGCTCCTGCTGAATTGACCCTCCGGCAGGAAGCAACTGTCGGCTCCTGTGCAACTAGCCGAGGGATGTGGAGAGTGAACAAAACGGGCAGACCTGGAGGGGAGCAGGTGCTTGGAAGGAAGGAACACTCTGGGGTGACCGTGTGATTCTTTTCAGACTTCTGCCCTGAGGTCAGCCGCAGTGGACGACGCAGGAGACGACAAAAGCAGTGATACAAAACTCACGGTCTTTCTGGCCTGGTGAAGCAGATAACAGAATGTGAGCAACCACACCTGTTGGAGAGCGAGAGGAGTCTCAGAGAGGGAAGAGTCAGGAGAGGGAACCGCACATTCTGTGTATACACTCTGCCTAAATCTTTGGCTGACCCGCAGAGCGTGTCTTCTCCAGGCAAACTCCAGGCAGCCTAGCTAACGACAAAAGACTCAGCTGGGATCTGAGCTCCTTCTCAAGAGACAGAGCATGTAGTTTGAGTCCAAACAAGTTAACTGCTTGCGAACACAGAAAACCAGCACTCTCGGGAAGAACATAACACAATCCAGAGTCTCTGTGACACGACATTGAAAACGTCCAGACTTCAGAATTGGTCAGCACACAAAGCGGCAGAAAAATCGGACTCATTTTCTGTAGAAAGGCTAATCGGTAGAGGCCAAACCCAGCATGATCCGGATGTTGGAATTAGCAGACGTGTGTTCGAAAACTCCCGTTAAAACTCAGCTCGGAGTCGTAAAGTAGTGGTTCCCAAAGTGCAGTCCTGAGGCCAGCCTCCAGCACCACCTGGGAACCTGTTGGAAATTCAAAATCTGTAGCCTCACCGCAGATCACATGAATCGTGAACTTTGGGCTAAGGCTCAGCAGTCTGTCTTTTTTTTTTAAAGGTTCTCCAGATGATTCAGATGCTCGCTAAAGTTTGAGAAGGAAAATATGAATGAGAAGGTAGAAAGTTGGGGTTCTGTGTCTCCCCCCGCCGTCCTTCCCCAGCTCACACATTCTCTCTCAAAAATAAACAAACATTAAAAAAATATTAAAAAAAAAAAAAACCTCGGCCAGTATTTGTGCAGACTCTTAACAAGAAAGGTCTTTGCTACTTGACATTCTACACGTGGCTCAGAATTTTCCTCAGTGTTGGGAATGAGAGCAGGAGCGCTCCTCTGTGTTGAAGAAACAAGGGCCAGAATGTACCAAAGCAGCGGAGATTATAAATGAAAAAGTTCTGGAATCTCGGTGGGCCCCAAGCAACATAAATACAAAGACACCCAACATAGTCGAACTGCTGACAACCAAACGTAAAGAGAAAAATCTTGAAAGCATCCAGAGAAAAAAATGATACGTTTCAAATAGAGGAACAACAACGTAAATAGCGAACTTCTCATCAGAGACAAGGGGTGCCAGACGACAGTGAACCAATGTTTGTGGAGTATTAAAAGAAAAAAACCCACAATTCTACATGCACCAAAGGTAACATTTCCTGAATGAAGGTAACAGACGCCTGGTGGCTTAGTCAGTTAAGTGTCTGACTCTTGGTTTCAGCTCAGGTCATCTTGTGGTTCGTGAGATCAAGCCCCGCATCGGACTCTGCACTGACAGTGCAGAGCCTGCTTGGGATTCTCTCTCGCCCCCTCTCTCTCTGCCCCTCCCCTGCTCACACTACCCTCCCCTCCCAATAAATAAATAAACGTTTTTAAAAAAAACCTGACACTTCACCAAGGAAGATACACAAATGACGAAGAAACATGTGAAAAAATGCTCGACATCATTCGTCGTAGGGAAGATGCAAGTTCAAGCCATGATCAGCTGGCACTGGGTTAAATTTTGCAAATTTAAAATTGGGTTAAAATTTGCAAAAGTGCCGATACCAAGTGCTGGTGAAGATGTTTAGCAGCGGGAACGCCACACACTGCTGATGGGAACGCAACATTTGGTGGTTTCTTAGAAAGTTAAACGTACGTTTCCCATGTGGTCCGGCAATTCCATTTCTAGAGAAATGAAACTATGTCATAGGCTACGTTGTATTCCCCAAAATTCATATGATGAAGTCCTGACCCGTAGTACCTTAGAACGTGAGAAGTGTGTGGAGTTAGAATGTTTTTTAATGTTTGTTTATTTTTGAGAGAGAGATACAGAGACAGAGTATGAGCACGGGGAGGGGCAGAGAGAGAGAGAGAGAGAGAGACCCAGAAGAAGCAGGCTTCAGGCTCCAAGCTGTCAGCACAGAGCCCGATGCGGGGCTCAAACTCACGAACCGCAAGATTCGAAGTTGGACGCTTAACTGACTGAGCCACCCAGGCGCCCCTGGAGTTAGAGTTTCTGAAGACACAATTAAGGGAGCATGAAACCCTACGGGTAGACCTTAATCCAAAATGAGTGGTGTCTGTACAAGAAGTGGAAATTAGGACGCAGACAGCATGCGGGGAGGAAGGAACGTTCGGAGATACAGGGAGAAGGTGGCTGTCTACAAGCCAGAGAGAGTCCTCAGAAGAAAGCGGCCCTACTGACACGTTGATCTCCGACTTGCAGGCTCTGGAACTGAGAGGTGAATTTCTGTGGGTAAAGCCACCCAGTCTGTGGTATTGTGTTTGGGCATCGCAAGGAGACTAATTCACCCTGTTCACACAGAAACTTGCGCTTGACTGTTTACAGTGGCTTTATTCGCGACCGCCAGCAATTGGACACAGCTCGGATGTCCTTCAGGTGGTTAAGGGATGGACTGTGGCACATCTACAGAAACTATTCAGGAGCACAACAGAATGGACTTTCCGTTCGTGCGGTAGCATGGATGAAATGTCAGATGCGTTTTGCTTAAGTGGAAGAAGCCGGACCGCACCGTGTATGGTTCCGTTTCTGTAATATTATGGAAAAGGCACAACTCTGGGAACAGAAGACGGGCCCGTGGTGCAGGAATTGGGAGTCTGGGAGGGATTGATCACCGAAGGGCCAGTGCAAAAGCATTTCGGAGGTGAAGGGACTCCTCTGCGTGTTGATTGACGTTATGACCGTATGACCGTACGGGAGCCTCAGGAACAGGGCACCGAAAAGAGCGAATTTTCCTACGTGTAAATTTTTATTTTTATTTTTATTTTTTAATGTTTGTTTATTTATTTATTTGGAGAGAGAGAGGGGGAGGGAGAGAGAGACTCCCAAGCTCAGAGCCCGATGCGGGGCTCGATCCCACCACTGTGAGATCACGACCTGAGCTGAAACTAAGAATGGGACACTCAACCGACTGAGCCACCCATGCGCCCCTCCTGTGTGCAAACTTTTAAAAAGAAGTGAATTTAGAACGTAAATAAAAGTAAGCCCAAGGCATACATGTAACACAAAGACCATTTCAGATAAAACCATGGGGATTCGTCACCAGTAGACCACTATAAACAACGCTAGTGGGTGTTCTTCAGGCCACGTGGAGACTCAGGCTGTCTCCTCACATCCTCGAATGTGCCCAGGCGTGATGTGAGTGAGAAGCATAGGGAAGGAAAAGAAATGATTTGCACGTCCGTGGTCGCATGGAAATAAGGGCATGCATGGGCCTAGAAAGAGACCATATCCACCCTCTCACTGGACAGATATTATTAGGCGCCTGCTGTTTGCCCGCGGAGTTCTAGCTCTGGGATGAAAACAAACTGGGCATGGTTCTTTTCTCGCGAATGGCAGGAGAAACGTTTGTCTTATGGAGGAGATCCGCGTGCATCGCGTGTGTGTGCGTGCGCGCGTCCCCGGCGGGCCCCTCTGTTGCTGCGCGATCCCCTGCTGTGGTGCCCTCTGGCTCAGTGTCCACTCTTTTCTCTTTCAGACGTCATTCAGTAGGGGTTTCACAAAGAACATGAAACTGGAAGCCGTCAACCCCAGGAACCCGGGAGAGCTCTGCGTGGCCTCTGTGGTCAGTGTGAAGGGGAGGCTGATGTGGCTTCATCTGGAAGGTACGCACCATTGGCGGTCGTTCTGGGGAACTTAGGGCGTGTCTGGAAGTGGCAAGGTGCACGTAGTACTTCTCAGAAACAACGCCTCTTGCCTTCCTTTTACTTAAACAGATCTTAAATTATTCAGTGTTCTTAAATGACTCAAACTCATCAAACACAAATTTGTTCAGAGTCTCTTGTCTTGACTCATGATTTCATGAAAGGAGACACTGGTGTGATAATTATGTTTGCAACACAGTGGTCTTTTTGCATCTGTGATTATAAAAGCTAGTGTCACAATTAAATTAATATGAGCCACTAAAACTGGTATTTGAGGTCTGGGTTATTATGAGGATAAAATTATATATTTACAATTTACTGTGAATAACACTCTGTACGTTGGTTTCTTCCATGGATCTTTAGTTGTACCTTGAAATAGTAACTAGAGATGACTTTCTCCCTAAATATGTAATACACAAGATTTAGCCTTACGTGTTTAATGATGTTTAAACTGTTGTTTATAGCTATAGTTTGTTTATAATTGTGCAGATAATTCACAGAACATTCTACTTTATAAGCGGAACCTTGATCAGATTTTAGATTTGGAAAGACTACATTTTGTGTGTTTTGTTTCCAGTGACGAAGAATTCAGATGAGTCTGATCTGTAAGGTTTTTCCCATTTTTCTGTGATCTGAATTCTTTGGGTTTATTTGTATCTCAGTCTCATGACATTAATTATTTTAAACGTATATGGAAAAACAAGACTAGTTGGGAATGAGAAAATCATGGTAGCTCTCTCAGCCCATATTTTTTTTTTAATTTTTTTTCCCAATGTTTATTTATTTTTGGGACAGAGAGAGACAGCATGAACGGGGGAGGGGCAGAGAGAGGGAGACACAGAATCAGAAACAGGCTCCAGGCTCTGAGCCATCAGCCCAGAGCCCGACGCGGGGCTCGAACTCACGGACCGCGAGATCGTGACCTGGCTGAAGTCGGATGCTTAACCGACTGCGCCACCCAGGCGCCCCTCTCAGCCCATATTTTAACTGTCATGGCATCCCCTACTGCCACTGGAATGGAAAGTTTGGAAGGCCACGGAAGTGGTGCTCGTATCTTCCTCCTATCTCTTTAGGAAGAGCACATCTAAAAAGCACCAAAAGTTCTGAGGCTGACGATCTCCTAAATAGTAGAGTCCAAGGGAGTGAAAAGGGGAGAGAACAGTGACGGTAGGTGAGCGTCGCCTGTGTCCTCAATTCCCAGGAAAACAGTTTAAAATGTTACCGTGGTTTAGGATTTCAAAATCAACTTGAACTAAAAGAAAATTCTCAAAAGGTGGATTGCTTGGTGGCTCTTCGAGTAAAATGGCCTCTGGTAGGAATCGGCCACAGTGCAGGCAGACACAGGCGGAACGGGGCTCTTTCTGCAGCCTCGGGAAGAGAACGCGACCTTACTTCCGTCACTATGTGTAAAGTTGAGTCACCTGCTCTTGGAAACACAGGATCCCTTCCGTGACTTCCCATCGCTCCATCAGACTTGCCACCTCATACTGGGCTAAGCCATGTTGCGAGATCGGGACCTTGCTTGCGTGATTCATTCGAAAGCAGACGCGGTAAAGTTCAAAGCCCATGTTTCATCATTATTATTTAGCACATCATCGTTAAAATTCTTTGGCAGTCGTTATTTATTTAGCGGTTTGTAGTTCCAGAGTGCTCTACAGCTGTTAATTACCTAACACAGACACGCAGGCAAAGCATGTCCTGATTTTTATAGTTGGAAGAACGTTACGATATGCCTGGGGTCAGTTTCCTTCTCCTTGACATCTCCGTTGCTTAGTTCACCCAACCCTACAGATTCCCAATTCTTAAAAACAGGGGTGAGCGGCAACAGGGTAGAGTTAACATTTCTGACAGGCTTTTCTCCTTAATATTGTTTTTCTCTGGGATATAAATTTCCATTTTTATAGCAAAGAAATGCGAGGCAGCTCATGTCAGCTGTTATTCTCCAGAGTGCTTTTTTATCCTGTAGCAGCGAGATCAGTTAGCGTTAGGAAGCAGAGCAGAAAATAAGTAGATCGTCCATTTTTTCCCAGCCCTTACTCCTTAAGAAAAACATTTTTTTATGAACAGTCTGTTGCATATTATCCACGTGGAATTCTTGATCGAAATCCTGTGTTTGTTGGATCGAATAAAGTAAAATCCCATTTTGTCTCTTGGCTCTCGATTGTACTTTGGGTTTTTTGTGTGGGGGGGTTGTTTTGGGCCCCCACTGAATATTCCCTTTTATTTATTTATTTATTTATTTATTTATTTTTTTTTTTTTTTAATTTTTTTAACGTTTATTTATTTTTGAGACAGAGAGAGACAGAGCATGAACGGGGGAGGGTCAGAGAGAGGGAGACACAGAATCGGAAACAGGCTCCAGGCTCTGAGCTGTCAGCACAGAGCCCGACGCGGGGCTCGAACTCACGGACCGCGAGATCATGACCTGAGCCAAAGTCGGCCGCTTAACCGACTGAGCCACCCAGGCGCCCCTGAATATTCCCTTTTAAAGTGCCAGTGAACTTGATGGCATTTATTTCTTGTTATTTCTCAGTTTTATGTATATACTGTTCTCTTTCCTCTGTCCTGGGAACGCATGTTAGAGATTCGCTATGGTCACTCTGTGGCTGTTAAATTATTTTTATGATGATGGTGATTCTGGTTATAGACCGTTCACTTGACACTTGAAACAGATCAAATACTTCATAACAATTCATTAGTTATTTTTATGCATTAAGTTGATTTGAAGTATTTTCAGCACATGGCTAATTGACCACTTTTAGGTAATTAAAGTGATCATTTTCTACTTAATACGTGACGTCTCTGGAGGTCGGTTCTTTAAGTGTCTATAAAAGAGCCGATGTTGAAGAGGGGGGGCCATGGATGAGATATGGGAGACGAAGGTAGTATTGCTTTGGGTGCACATTTGGAAAGAATTGGGAGCTCTCCGGAACCGCGGACGGTGAGCGCAAGGATGATGGGGTTTCTTTGATTTAGAGAGGACGTTGCAGTGTTTCTCCTGAGTCTCGAGGCGGTCAGATCGACAGTTATAAGCATGACCCGTACAGTAGAGGTTGCTGTCCGTGGTGATGTCTTAGCGTCACGGCCCTGCATTCACGCGTCTGCCCCCGCCCCACACCAGGTCCTTCTACGTGCGTTCCAGATGCTTCCCTCGGGGACGAGGAGGGTCTTCTCCCGTCCTCATGATGCTTTAGCTCCCTGAGAGGGCTTACAGCTTTGCAATGCCTTCCTTGGCTTCTCTTACCCCCTCGTTATTAATCCTGTCCTGCGGTTCAGAAGAGATGTGGGAAGCTCCATGTTCCTGAATACATGACTTTTAGCCTTTGCGCCAACATTCCTCTGATGCCATAAAAGGTACGGCCACCGGCAGGCTTCATGTCTGCAGTTATGTGGCCTTTTTTGTTGCCGCCACTACAGAAATGTTTGAAGAGGGCTCTGGAAGGGGACACTGAAACCCGGTTTTGACCTGGGGAGCGCTGTTGCACGTGAAAAACAGGCAGGGGGACTCTCTCGGCTGGTGTTCGTTGTGCTTTGAGCGCGGGGAGGCAATGACGTCCCGGGGGACTTGGTGCCCGCTGCTTTCGGTGCTGATCTGTCATAAAAACAAACGCACAAGGACAGAAACACGAAGACGACCTAGAGTCTTCAGGTCTGCGGAGACGTATGAAAATCTCCAGAACAGGGGAGCTTGGGTATTACCGACGTCTCCTGATCTTTATTTTTTGCTGCCCTCTGAAACGAAACCTAGAGAAAATTAAATTTTTCCACACTCAGTCCTGGAGAACGTACTGTGCGAGTGTCAGTCTGTGAAGTCTTCGCCGGGTATAGCTTCGGGCAGTAGCTTCCTGGCGTTCAGGACTCCCATCCTGTCACCGCGAGCTTCACATCCCCCATCAGCAAGCACCGAACACGCCGGGCTGCGCGCCCATGGTCCCCGATTTCCGCCGCCGAGCGCCCTCAGGAACAGCCGGCGGACTCTTGAAGCCTGAGCCTCGTGTAGGGTTTCAGCGGAGGGAGTTGAACGTAAGACACCCTGACGGTCCCGGGACGGATGTGAGCTCTTCTTTTCCCCTCTTGACAAGTGCATGCACTTTGGGACTGTCCGGTGACACTTCCTGATCTGCCTGATCTTCTCTTGGCTTCTTGGCTGCGGTGAGCGACCTAGGCCTGCCGCTGCTGGTTTCCTTTCCGCCACTGGCTCTAAGTGTCACGCACCCTTCAGAGTTGGCATGGGGCATGTCCCTGACCGGGCCGGGCTTGCAGGGTCCTCACTCTGACACCCGCCACTGCCAGTGTCCTGAGTCGGGTCACCTGGGCTGTTGGGGGTGACGGCAGGAAGGGGCAGACCTTTCACGCTCGGTGCACGGACTCTCACGTAACGCCATTTCCTGGCCTGGTCATTTCCCTGACCTGGTGCTTCTGACTCTAAGTCAGAACGCGCTGGTGCACGTTTTCTAGCACGTGAACCTCCAGTCGCCTGCCTGGCGGAGGCGTCTAACCTGACTGGGTGGAATCGACAAGGGGATCCAAGGCCTGACTGATTCCTAGACTTGGAACCAGGCGCCTCTCCTCAGTTCCAGCCTCTCAAAGGCTCCTAGGCTGTCCTCTCCTCATCTGCATGGGGCCCAGAGGCTGAATTGGCTTGCTTCTTGCCTTCCTTGCCTTCTTACTTTGTTCACTTTCAAATCTGATGAATGAATGAATGAATGAATGAATGGGATAACATACTAAGCAAGGGTAATGGGGTTTCCCACTTGAGCCCCTCATGGCAAAATTGATTCCATGCAGCATAGGGGTGAGGGCTCAGACCAGGGGGGAGTGAAGAAGTATTTAATGGAAGGTTTAGGTTGTTCCTATACCAGAGTCCTGGAAAGTTCACTCTATCTTGAATCAAGTGACCTTACTGGAACCGAGAATGTGCTGACATCCCCAGGATGGTCCCCATCCTAGAGCAGGTTTTT